CAGACGACTGGAAGAGAGGTCTTCTAGTAAAGCTGGCAAGAAAAGGTGACCTTAGTTTGTGTGGTAACTGAAGGGGAATAATGTTGCTCTCAATACCCAACAAAGTCGTAACCCGGGTCATGAATGAAGGTCGCTGTTGACGAAGCTCTGAGAGACGAGCAGGCGGGATTTAGAAAGGATCGTTCTTGCATCGATCAAATTGCCACACTGAGGATTATTGTAGAACAAACAATCGAGTGATCATCCCCCCTGTACTTGTTATCCGTGAGAAAGCTTTTGATTCTCTGGTTAGGGAGGCTATATGGAGGATTCTTCGTCATTACGGTATACCTAAGTATCAGAGCTTTACTTGCCAAGTGCTTCATGGAGGAACTATAACCAAGCCGATCAATGTCAAGACCGGCGTGAGACAGTGATGCCCTTTCGCCATTGCTGTTCCTTGTGGTACTTGACTGGGTGTCGAAGAAGGCATATGAGGGTAAACGTTTGGGACTCCAGTGGTCACTGACCCAACGCCTAGAAGACTTGAACTATGCTGACGATCTTTGGTCACTAACACACCGACTGGTTGATATGACAGCGAAAGCAGAAAGATTGCAAGAGTCTGGTGGTCAGGTAGGGCTCAAAAATAACGTCCAAAAAACAAAGGAGATCGAACTGGCGTGAGGCACCAAGAATCACTGGAACGTCATGGGAAAGCTGTTGAAAGAGTGTCCGAGTTCACGTATTTGGGAAGCATCATCAATGAAACTGGCGGAACTGACGAGGACATAACAGCGAGGATAAGGAAAGCGCAATTGACATCCTCGATGGTTATGTCTGTGTGGAAGGAAAAATTAATGTATCAGATTGTAAACAAAGCTCAGGATTTTCAGTACGAACGTGAAGTCTGCCCCTCTGTATGGTTCGGAAACCTAGAGATCGACGAAACTGCTGATCAACAAATTGTAGACATTTATCAACAGGCGTTTAAGGAAGATCCTGAATATCTGTTGGCCAGAGGTCATCTCAAATGAAGAACTATGGGAAAGGACTCCACAAAGTCGTATAGAAGAACGCATTAAGAGAAGAAAGTGGAAATGGATCGGGCATTCGCTACGAAAGCCTGAGAATAACATCACCCATTCCGCCCTCGAGTGGAACCCTCAGGGGTTCAGACGAAGAGGCCGCCCAAAGCAATCTTGGAGGCAAAGTGTGTAAGAAGAGCTCGCCAAGAAGAACATCAATTGAATAGAGGCAAAGAGAACTGCCAAAAATAGAGCCAGGTGGAGGTCCATGGTTGATGCCCTACGCTTCCCATCAGGAGTGAAGATGGCTTCATGTAATATAATGTCCTTGTGACAATTTTCAGGCAGGAATAGCAGTAGTTTTGAACGCAAAAAAGTGGCTCAACAACATTTTAAAGCTGTTGTAAGCTCAGAATAGTTTTTTACACATATCAAAAGAACAAAAACCGAAAAAAAAAATTCGTTTCATATACACTAGAAATGAATGCTGATGTAAACTGGTGCCATTTTCGCTCGAAGGTTTTTTTGAAAGTTGCTGGCCGTAAGAAGTCACACGACCTAAGTTGCATATATCATCCCGATATATAAGACAAAATTTTTAAACCCACTAATCTAAAAAAGCTTTAGGTTAGTGTGATTAAAGCCTTAGAAGATAGACCACCTCTCTAATTTTTTGGTGCAATAAAGTGAGAGCCATGCCTTAATTGTCTTGAGCGGTATTAACATAGAGCATCTGAACCGTGTGAGCGAAGTAAACTTGTAAAGGAAATAAAACTCACTCTCTCAGTATGTTGATGGATCACTGAATACCACCACTGAACCAAGTACCCTGAAGGATGAGAAAAATCACAGTAAGCGGGTCGAATTATAAAACAAAGCATGGATTGCGCTGCAGATCATTTTTAGGAGCAATGCCACTGCATTATAATATCGGCAATACATATTATATTATTTCGAAGAAATACTCGCGCTGAAGGTAAATCGTTGGGGTTAACATGCTGGAGTAATGAATGCTTACACCAGCGTGTACATTAAAAAAAACATTGCTTTTTAAGTGCTGGAAGTTTGTAATTGTTTAATGCCGAGTTTGTTATTTGAGATGCATGACATCTCATTTCCAGTGACTAAAAATCAGACCTTTTCTAGGGAACATAACCCTCGGATTCCTAGTTGGCTCATGCTTAGGCATTCATGAATAAGACTCAGCCCCCTCCCCTATTTCCCCGTAATTTAAAAACTTGCTGCACGCGCAATGGTGTTGTTCAAAAGAAAAAAAAAGCAACAACAACCCAAAAATTCTACAAAATACTCTTTAGAAAAAGTGGCACGACTTTTGTTAAGCCAATCGTGTAGCGTAGTAATTAAAATTTAAACTAATTACCTTTCGACTTTCAAGTAAAAACCGCTCTATGTCTTAGTCTCGACAAGGGTTTTACTGAGACAAGCTTCTCCTCCCACACCAAAATGATATATGCTTTGTAAGACCATCCGAATAAAGGCCAATGGCAATTCAGATGACTCGTTTGTGGAGGTTTGTCCAAAAAGAAAAGAATATACTAAAACATGTTTACTTTTAGTTAGTCCAGTGCCTGAAAGGTCAGTGGATGAGTATCTTCAGATCTGCACATGACTGCTAACCGGCACGAACGATACGATTCGGCG